CATGAAAATATTTGAAATAATTGTGAAATTTAGTAAAATGTGACACAGGAATATGAAGTGAGCAGATGCTGTTAGACTTACTCAGCATTGGGTTACCACAAAGCTTCCATTTGAGGGAGGAAAAAGTAACATTTGTGAGGTACAAACCAACATGGTATGCCTGTGCACGCCTGCTTGATCCCTACCCATTGTTAGGTCCCAGCTTGACTGTCACTTTTCAGGCTAATTTGGTTGTCCTGTGAGAGTTTTCTCACTATGTCCTCTACTTCCGTTTATAAGTTGCTTCACAGTTTATTATTGGTGCTGTTACGTTCTGTCAGTTCATCCCAACATAAAGCCACCCTAAGTACAGCAGCAAGAAAAGCACTGCCAGTCCTCCACCACTCTCATAGTCTCTGCTGTGTCTGAAACCATTGTTGCAGCTCCTGTATTGAGGGGCCTCCTTGTCCCCCCTCACCCTCTACTTTACCGTGCATGATGTCCTTCTCCGGGAATTAGCCCCTTATGTTGACATGTTCCAAGTGTTTGAAGCCAAATCTCACCACCTTGTCTCCAAGGAGCGTTCTAGCTACACTTGTTAATATTCTGTACTATTGGCATGGTTATTTGTTTTATGTTTTTGTTCCCCTTAAGAGCAAGGACTAGGGGAGCTCTGGTGGCCTAGTGGCAAGGAGCTGCAACTACAATCCCAGAGGTGAACGGTTCAAATCCACCAGATGCTCTGCCGGGGAAGGAGGGTCAATCTCCTCCTGTACCAGTCAGATCTGATTTGACGGTACATGCACACAAAAATAATAAAACAAAAAAAAATTTAAAAAAAAAGCAAGGACTGTGCACGCACATTGTTTGCTTTGAGACTCCAGCTATTGGTGCAACAGTCATTATGATGCTTTAATATCTGTTGCTCATCATGGGATCTGGGAGACCAGACAGCAGCGTTTTTAGTACCCGCTTCCTTCTTGGCTTGTTGTTAGGTTACTTTTCCTGGTGATTTCTGTCTCTCTTTCTCTCAGGTTTGTTCTCTTTTTGTTTAAATATCTTGTATCACTTTCCTCTTTCTTTGCCTAGGAATACATGCTCACTGTGACCAATTCCTCCCCACTGATTTGTGGACATTGTAGCTTATTTGTTGGTCAGTTTAAGTCATTGAAAACTTTAAGGGAACAAATTATGACATGAATCAATGCAAAGAAATGCAACAGTAAAATAGATAGGAGTCACTCCCTTAAACATGTGGCTGTTATCCAAATAACGTTTTTTTATTTAGTTCCCACCGTAAAGACAAAACATGGTGTTGCCAACTGACTGAGATGCTGGCCTGGCTATTTTTGGGTTTACAGGCCAATCTCAGCCTCTAAGGAAGTAAGTGCAGAGTTCTCTTTATGCTCTTTTATCTGCCACAGATTTTACAAAAGCAAGTATCGTTTTTACCCTGACATAGAAGACAAACAAACAGAAAACGAATCATCATAGTTGTAGCTGGACAATGAATAATGATGATAGAAGAATCAATGCCTTTGAATTTGGTGTTGGAGAAGTCCCGGGGACTGTTAAAAGAATAAAGAGATCTGTCTTTCAGGAAGTACAGTCAGGGTGTTCCTTAGATGCAAGGAGGGCAAAATGTTGTCTTACGAACGCTGGGCATGTTGTTAGAAGGGGCCAACCCTTGGAGCAATCAGTCATGCTGTAAAAAGTGGAAGGTCCTTGAAAGGAAGGAAGACCTTCAACAAGATGGGTAGATGCAATGGATAACAGTGGACACAAGCGTATCAGAGATGGTGGGAATGGAGCAGGGCAGGGCAGGATTCAGATCTGTTATTCAGAGGATTGCTGTGAGTCGTAGCCAATTCCACGGCATCTAACAACAATGAAAGAAGAAACTGAAAAATTATAATCTGGAGGGGAGACTAGTCACGTTAGCAACAAGAACAGTAATGAATATAAGTGAGCTGATATTTCTCAGAAATAGATTTGCTGGTCTGCTGAAAGTAAGCCAGAAGTTTTCTTGGTTTCTTTAACTCTTCCTTGTCCTCCCAGAGCCCAGTGAGCTTGCAGGGAATAGTTCTGAGGTTTCCCACTCTGAAGAGGACAGCCGGGTCTGTGTTGCCAAATCCAAACAAATCCTTTGTGCTGTGGACAACACTGAAGCTTGCAGGGCTAATTTCACAGAGCACAGAAAAATCAGACTTTTAATATCTCAACAACACTACTGGAACCAAAAGCTGTTACATACAGCCCAAGCTTAAGTAAGACTTTCAATGACTGTTTAAAAAAAAAAAAAGGTTAATGTGTGGCCTCTTAGATTGCTACTTCCTGGCTGGGAACAATGCTGAATTGGCAGTCCTCCTCCAAAAGCCAGAGTTAAGCACTGTGTTCTGAATATTGGCAAGGGAATCTGGCTTCTCATTCATGCAGAGTTATCTGCTGAGAGAGGTGGAGGAATGTCCTCTAAGACACAAGATACACTTGAAACAGATTTTCTGTGTTGATTGTTTTTGGGAAAATAGGAGATGTGGTTGGTGCGAATGTCTAAATGTATAATATTTAGACTAAGTTTAGTGTCTAAGTTGAAAAAAGATGAATCTATGATTACATGATGTCAACTGGCATATAATTCCTCTCTTTTATGAATACTGGTTATTAAAATAATACCCACTCCAGCTACTATGACTGCTAATATTGCCAATGGTATTTGAAGGGTTAAAGGTCCTAATATTTACTTACTAATGATTCACCCCAGGCATCAGCAGTATTTAATAAAAATTGTCATTGACCTTTTTAGCTTTTAATACTATCTTGTTCTCACTTGACATTTAAAAATAATTGATACAAAGATTAAATATCCTACATTCCTCCCCTCAAATTTCCTATTTATAGTAACCATTTTATTAGTCTTTAATCATGGTAACTTTTTACACTTAAAAACGTTTCACTTTTAACTCAATACAATCCAACACATTTCTTTTATTGACTTTGTATCTTTAACCTTTAGAACTATTCATTCTAATGACTCTCTTGACATTTTTCATCATCAGGAAATGTGATAGCTCAGCAGATTGGCTGAATAAACTTTATCAAGGTCTGAAATAGTCTTAGTTACAAGTATAGTTTAAGATGAAGGATTCAAGTGGATAAATGCATGAAAAGAATTTGCTGTGAAAATCGTGTGTACAACCAATGCTATAAACATCATTAGTGTGTTGAGTTTAGAAACCCAGTTACCAGGTCGTTGGATTTGAAGATTCCTTATGAATCCATTGCATCTACACGTGTGTGCCGACAGGCATACAAACACACACTTATACACGCAACACATGCCAGCAAATGTGTCTACACACACAGAGCTTGAGAAAGAGGTGTCAATGCCCATCATTCAGATGATAAGTGTGTTGACCAGAAACAGCCTCATAGTCTAACCCTGGACACTGACCAGTCAGAAAACTTGTAGAAAGAACAGCTCAGCTTTAAAATCGTGGCGTCAGAGTGTCACTCTTCCTGTCATTCTTACGTGACTACTAGTCACATCTTTCAACTCACATTGCTGAGGAATCAGAACTGACTCATATCTGACGGGCCAGTGGGTTTTCTAGGCTGCAAAATGCTTGGGAGGAGATTGCCCATCTTTCTCCAAGAGCAGTTGGTGGCAGCACAACTTCTTAGCCGCTGGGCCGCTGGAGCTCTGCTGATAGCCAGGCCATTTCCCTAATTTTAGTACCAGACTACAAGTCTGGAAACTTGGCTGTTGTACTCCCTGCAGCCTCCATTTCTTTACCTGCAAAATTGAACCTTTAGATTTATTAATTATCAGAACCTAAGATTTGATACTTACATGTTTTATAATTTTCATAGGATATATTGTCTCTCAATTGGTAAGGGCAGCCATAAGAGTTAAGAATTTATCAACTGTTTTAAGTTCAAAATTGACTATCAATTCCACTTCATTCTCTGGCTGTGTACTTGTATTTGGATAAATCATAGCACTTTTCAGGTCCCAGTTTTCATATTGGTAAAATGAGGGCAACCATAACAAATAATCACTAACAGGTAGTTTCAAAGAATAGAAATTTCTTATCTCACAGTTGTAGAAGCCAAAGTCTGAAATCAGTGTGTTGGCAGGGCTCACTCCTTCCAGAGGCTCTGAGAGAAAGAGGCCATCCCATGCGTCCCTCCTACCTTCAGGTGGTGGCTGGTACCCCTTCGAGTTCCTTAGCTTGTAGGCACTTTATTCCAACCTCCACACCATCCTCTTCTCTTTTTCTCCATGTGTCCTTGCATGTGTCTCCTAAGAACACTCTCACCTAGAGTTCTTGTGGCCCAGTGGGCTAAGAGTTGGGCTGCTGACCAGAAAGTCACCTGTTCAAAGCTATCAGCTGCTCTCAGGGAGAACAATGAATCTGCTTCTATAAAAATATACTGCCTTGCAAACACTGTGGAACAATTCTGCTCTGTACTGTTGGGTCTTCTGTAACTTGGAATTGATTTTATGGCCGTGGGTTTGTTTTCAATCAAGAAAGGAGCCCTGGTGGCATAGTGCACTGAATGTTGGGATTCTAACAGTCAAATCCATTAGCAATTCTGTGGACAACTCCACTGTGGCAGCTCTAATCCACCAGCAATTTTGGAAGCAAAAGAAGGACAATCTGTTCCTCTTAAGGTTTACAGCCTTGGCATCCTGAGGGAGGGTCACTTTGAGTTGGAACCCACTCTTCAGCAGTGCATTTGAGTTTGACACCTACAAAGACATCAGTGGCACTCTCACAGTTTAATACCAAATTTTAAAGAAATTAATGTGTTACTGTGCTCAGATCAGTACCCAATAATGGCTGTTAATTCAGACTGGTAATAAATATGAGATGGGATCCATACCTAAAAAATACAGACATAGTTGTATTTTTTTCATACCTTTTTCTTCCATGTTCTTGTCTTGGTCTCAAAGAAATGCAATAGGTATCACAAAAGAGAATGCTTATAATTTAATTTTTAACATCAATCTCTTGCAGGTAGTGAAGATAGTCGTATTCATGAGACTACTTTGCGACAAATAACAACTGTGACTGAGCAAGTGAGACGGAGTGAAGAAAACCCTTCTGCATCGCAGGCGGCCAGGAGGCCCGAGCTGTCGAGAAGTGGAGAAGCCACCACCCAGATCCAGGCCCTGGCGCCAGGGACACCTGAAGAGCCATCCTTCCACTCGGGGGTTCTGAAGGCCATGTCCCGGCGAGATGTCAGGGCTGAGATATTCCTCTGGAGTTTTCTCCTGTGGTCTGACACGATTGAAATGGTGCGAGTGGCTGGTCACCCCTCCGTGTACAACTCTGGCTGGGTCTATCCAGTCTACATATTTAGTTTCATTTCTCTACTTCGATTGATACTCACACCCAGAAACCCTCTTCTGAATTCCCTGGGCATGCTGCTTCAGGACTTGCCCTTTATTTTTGTCCGACTTAGTTTAATCATTGTCTTGGGGACCATCACACCTGTCCTGGGTCTTTGTAAAAATATACTTGTGATGCTTTCTTATGTTTACTTTAATTATTTAATCAAACTCAGAGTTTTCTCTACCTTTGAAATATCTTGATTCTGAAAAGAAAATGCTGTAAGAGTAAAATAGTGTAAAACTTCCTTTTGTATGCATGTGGGCAGATTTATAATAATTTTATCTGGGTCATACACAAATGGTGCTAAATTAAACCAAGTTATATTCTTACAAGTTGGCTTTGTGGTAGATCTCTAGAAAATGTTACTAGTTAATTTTAATTAGTTATATATACTGTTGTTTTTATAAAAGGAATCATAAGTAAAGGGTTTTTTAAAAAATTTTTTATTTTTGGTTGTGTTTTTTTTTTAAAAGGAACATGTTTTCCTACTAGACAAATGGAATTTTTAAAAATTCCTTTACATAAATTATAGTGCATTAGCTAAAAACTAATTTTCCTTAGAAAATACAGCTGACATTATTGAATAACTTTTAGACTATATGTCACAAATATTAAATTATAGTTGTAGGGTTTCTTCTTAAAAATGGAGTTATCGTCTTTAATCCAGTGTAGTGAATGGCTTTTCTCTTACGGATTAATTTCAGGATACAGAGCAATTCCGTTTACCACCTAGATAGATCAGTTAAAAACGTAGCAGATTAGCCATTTCTGCGGTACTAGTATGAATGATGTTTATTGTCAGAGTAAATCATTAATACCTAGATAAAGTTTTATAATAGAAAGTCATACACTGAAGTTGTGGACTTTCAAGGAAAAGAGCATTATAAAAATAATCTAGTATGAACCCTGTTTAAAACTGGAGTTTACAGGTATAATCACAAATAATCTATCTTATGTGCTAATATATCACTGATAACATGATGCTAAAAGAATTACATATATAATTAAATAATTTGCCTTAAATCCAGTAGGGTAGTCTCGTATTTATAGTAGAAAAAGGAATTTCCTGATGCTAAAAAGTGTTAGACCAAGACTCCTTGACATATTGCTTAAGAGTGTGTAACTACCTTGCCACTTCCCAAACCTGTTTTCCCTCAGGTAATTCTGACCCACGGTGATCCTGTAAGGCAGAGTAGAACTGCCCCATAGGATTTCTGAGATGTAATCTTGTCAGAAGCTGACTCACACATCATTCTCCTGTGGAGTGGCAGGCAGGTTTGAATCTCTGACCTTTAAAGTGGCAACTGAACACTTAACCACTACACAACCAGAGCTCTTACTTCAAGCCACACTCCACTCACTCCCTAACCTTCCTTGTGTTCTAGCTGCATTTAAAAGCTTCATTCTGGTTGTATAATTTGGGGAAAGTACCTTGACCACTGTGGGACCCAGTGTCCTCACTTAGTAAAACACAATAATAATACTACCTCAGCTGCCATCAGCTTCAACTGGAGACAGAGTACAAGTGTACTCTATGGGATTTTCCATAGCTGATTTTTAGAAAGTTTATCTCCAGGCCATTCTTCCAAGGCACCTCTAGATAGACTCCAATCTCCAAACTTTCAGATCCTTTCTGAGTGTATTTTTCATTACCCAGATGTTTTCAGTACTTACTAGGTAAGGAGCTGTACCCCCAGCCCACAGGCCTTTGAATCCACCAGCTGCTCCATGGGAGACAGATGAGTAACCTTCTGTGTGATTTAGTCTCTGAAAACCCTCTAGAGGGTCTCCTACAAGTCTACGGCAATGAATGAGTGAGTTAATACAGTTAAAAGGATTAAATAAGATAGGAATATGCTCAGCCCATTGTGTGTAGAAAAAAAAATAATTTGTTAAATGCCAGGTATTTTGATAGCACCAAGTCCCTGAGAAACAAGTCTCCAAATGAAATTAATTTTCCAGTTTCTTCCCCACACCCTGTGTCTCTGCTCATCCTTTGAAGAATAATAATTTAAAATTCACACTTGTGCAGAATGACAACAATCTCAAGGTTGCATTAGACTCCTTCTCTGTCTCTATCCATATACATTTTATTACATAAGATTTATATATGAGGGAGCTCTGATGGCCTTGTATGTTCAAAAGTGAGCACTTTGTAGGATATACAGCTAGAAGTTGACATTTGTATGTCCCTCCTGTGAATTCTCATAGAATCCAAATCACCGTACTTTACTAAAATAGTTTGAATTTGTTTTTCTAAATTCCCAATTAATTTTCAAGGAAAAAAAATCTTTCAAGGCAATCTAAGGAGATCTGGACACACTGTATAAATCTTAACAGACACTGTGTCTGTATCTTAACCTATCAACTCTATAGACATTTAACAGTAATTAAGAGGACTTTAAAAATGCACAAATAATTGCTTTCAAATTATTTCATGTACTATGGAAAATCTATACCAAATGACTGATCAATATTATTCCTAAATTTTGAAATATTTAGTATAAGTTTACATTTATCTTTCTGTTGAATTTTTTTTTGGGGGGTGAACTATGGTAAGATAAAATGAGAAGCTAGTCATTTTTTGAGTTTAGACCACATTTTGCATCTCATATTTGAATATGAATTTGCCTGATGTTTTAGAAAAGTTGCAACACTTTACACAATAAATGAAGGCATGGACATTACAAAAGTGGGTAAATGAGCTTTTAATTTAATTTTTTTATTTTAAGAGTATGCACATGTTTATAAAGTTCAAATGTATGGTATTTAATATTATTGTGGCAAAGTATGTGAATGAAACCTTGAGAGTTGTATATATTGAGTGATTAAAAGTAACATTAAATTTATCTTGCAATTCTCATGGCTTCTGATGTTGTTTGTAGCCTTCTATCAAACTGCCTCTGACTCATGGTGATCTTCTGTATGACAGAATGAAACCTTGCCCATCACTTCACCATCTTTGTAATCATTGATAATGTTGACCCTAATGTTGGAGTTAGTACAGTAAGTACAGTACATGGATGGGGAACTGCCAGAAATTCAAGCAGGATTTAGAAGAGGCCATGGCACCAGGGATATCATTGCTGATGTCAGATGGATCCTGGGTGAAAGTAAGGAATACCAGAAGAATATCTATTTGTGCTTTATTGACTAAGCAAAGGCATTTGACTGTGTGGATCATGACAAGTTGTGGCTGACATTGAGAAGATTGGGAATTCCAGAGCACTTGATTATGCTCCTGTGGAACCTAAACCTGGATCAGGAGGCTATTATGTGAACAGAACAGGGGAGCACTGCATTGTTTGGAATTGGTAAGGGAGTGTGCCAGGGCTGTATTCTCTCTCCATATCTATCCAATCCGTATGCTAAACAAATTATCTGAGACGCTGGGCTCTATGAGGAGTGTGACATCAGGACTGGAAGGAGTTATGTAGATGATACTACCTTGCTTGCTGAAAGTGAGGAGGATTTGAAGAAGCATTTGTTGCAGAAGATCAAGGAATGCAGCCTTCGGTATGGATTGAATCTCAATGTTAGGAAAACAAAGATTCTTACCATTGGACCGATAGGCAGCGTCATAATGGATGGAGAGGAGATGAAAACTGTCAACAGCTTCCTCTTGGATCCACAATTAACATCCTTGGTGAGGAAATAAGGAGACACGTTGCACTGGGTAAATCTGCAGTTAAGGATCTTTCTAAATTATTGAGGAGTAGTGATGTCAGTTTGAAGACTAAGGTGCATCTGAATCAGGCCAGAGTCTTTCCTATTACTACTAGCTATGCATCTGAGAGCTAAACAATGAATAAGGGTGACAGAAGAAGAATTGATTTCTTTGATCTGTGGTGATAGAGGAGAGCACTGAACATCCCATGGACAGCCAAGAGAATGAACAGATATGTCTTGGACAGGGTGCAGCCGCAGTGCTCTTTGGAGGCAAGAATGCTGAGGCTCCAACTCACATACTTTGGACACGTTGCTAGGAGGGCCTATACCTTGGAGAGGGACATGTTGTTGGGAAGAGTGGAGAGTCAGTGAAGGAGAGGAAGACCCTCAACCAGGTTGACTGACTGACATGGTGACTGCTTCAATGAACTCTTGTGTGTCAGGAAGTGTGAGGATGGCACAGGATAGAACAGGGTTGAGATACTTTGTTCATAGGGTTGCTACGAGTCATACTCGACTTGACAGCACCTAACAACAACTGACAACAATTGTTATGGTCATTGTGCCAGTCCCTCTCCCTGAGGGTTTCTGTAGTTTTTATTGATCCTTTCCTAGTGACTATTCTTGTTTAATGCATCTAAAATGAGGAAGGGAGATGATTGATGATAGCAGAGCTCATTATAGCTTTCATGTCTTAATAAAGGTTTACTTTTCTGTTCTATAAAATGAGTCGGTGCAATACTGGCAGGCTGCGTAGTAGGTGCGGTGTTTGATGGCTTTCCCTATAATCTTTCCTTTCTAACAAAGAATTACTGCTTGCCATATTGATTCCTTGGGAGCAGAAGCGGCATCCACTTCTGAAATAGCTTGCCTCCAGAAACTCTGTGAACAGTGTTGAATTCTTTTGTATAAGGTTGCCATGAATCATCTATGACTCAATGACATTTAACAATAATATCAACAACAACACAGAGAGAGCTACATTGGCCTAGTGGACAGAAAGTTATGCTACCAAGCCCAAAGTGGGTGATTTTAATTTGTGACACTCAAGCCTGGCTTAAATTGTTTTTTGTCAAACATTCTTCTAGGTGGTATAGCACTGGTCTGTGCATTGCTGTACAGAGGTAACTTGTGGTTTCTGTGATGCTAAACACTGTGACACTGATGTGTCAAATGTGATAATGGTTATCCATGGTGGACAGTGTTTGGTGGTGCTCCCTGATTAAAACAAGCTTGGAAGCAGGAGTGGCATCCGCTTCCAAAATGGCTTGCTTCCAGAAACTATGAACAGTGCTCAGGTCTTTCATTCACAGGGTCACCATGAGTCGCCTATGGCTTGATAGCACTTAACAACAACAAACACTGATTTCATCTTCTAAAGTTTTTTTTTAAACTCTGTTGTCATGCCTTGTTTTTTTTCTTCTAGTGGTTGAATAAAAAAAAAAACCAACTTGGATACCATTGGATCCAATGCCCCACTAAAAGTTAAGTTCCCTTAAAAAAAAAATTACCAAAGAATTCACTGAGCTAGTTTACTTGGAAGTATTTCAGACAAAGCAGAGTAAGTTCATCTCATACTAACTTGATTGGGTATGAGGTGGTGATGGTTGAGAAAGAAACAGTCTAGGAGGAAACGAAACTGTTCTGAAACAACCACCATTAACATCTAACCAAAAATAAGAACTAAAACTTAATAGAAAGGTAGAAAGCAGGTAGCAAGAGTTGAGGAGTGGTTTTTCTGTTTTGACCTTGTTTATATATATCTCCTAACCTGAAAATCTTTGTTTTACTAAGGCCACTGTTATGAGGTCAGTCTTTTTGTGGAACCATTGTCTTCCCTCTAAATTAAACCCAGACACCGATTTCACACAATTATGGCACACAACAGACCTTTCAGGGGTGGAGAAAAGTCATTTATACTTTATTTGCTTCTGACTCTAATATAAAACCATATTAAAACTTTTTGAAGTCTATAGAAGTAATTCACAATTAAAAGCCAAAAATTGCTCATTTAAAATACTTTTTCCATGATAAATCAGCAAATCTTCTTAGGAAGAAATAATTTTATTTAATTCACTCTTTTTTGTAACCAGATTTTTTTTTTTCATCAGTGGAGCCGTGACTTCTTATAAAAGAAACATTGTTATTTTGTTCTATATTTTATCTATCTTTTTTCTTCCTCTAAGAATATCCTTAAATTTATAATGTTAAAAAAAAAACAACCCTAAATCAGTAAGAGAACTACAACATATTTCTTACTAGGAAAATAATTTCTAATTTATCATAAATATGGTGACTTGTAGCTTTACTCTTGAAAATAAAATATTCATACAAATATTTTTAAGACACTATGTTTCTGGAAACATTGCTCTTTTTTTTTTAAAATTTAGATTGTTTATTTTTCATTTCAATGAACATCTACAGAGATTTTGGGATT